AAAAAATGGAATTCCAAAACTTGATTCTCATTGGCTGCTAGAAGTTTGGGGGCAAGTTTTGTTTGTGTCTTCCTGCTCAAACCTCCTCTCTGCATAAAGTAAAAGCACCACTCAGGTGTCTCTGGGACATCAATGTCTTTTTCTTGTGCAGTTCTTTTACCGGCTTCTTGTACCGTCTGGCTGAAACAGAGATCCCAGCTTGACACTGTTCCATAGTCCAGGTCTTCACCTCCCGCTCCAGCTCCAGCCACTCTGGAGGTTTCTTCATTGGCTTCTTTTACTTCTTTTTTGAGATAGAGCCTCACTCTGTTGCCCCAGTCTAGAGTGCAATGGTGTCACAGCTCACAGAAACCTCAAACTCTTGGGCTCAAGAGATCCTCTTTCCTTAGCCTCCCGAGTAGCTGGCACTAAGGCATTGCCCCACAATGCCTGGCTAGTTTTTGTAATTTTAGTAGAGATGGGGTATCGCTCTTGCTTGGGCTGGTCCCAAACTCCTGAGCTCCAGAATACACGCACCTCAGCCTCCCAGAGTGGGGGATTACAGGTGTGAGCCACTAGGCCTGGCCCTGCCTTCTGCAGTTCTGGCATCTGGAGAAGCTTTTCTTCCTGTTGCCTCCACAATCTGAGGACACTCTCTGTGGGAGGAGGTTCAAAGCGTCTCTCAGCAGCTCTGTCGCCAAGTTCTTTAGTATATTTAAAAACTGTTACCTTAAAGCCTGCGATTACCATGTTCCAGCATATTATTTTGTACATGGATAGAGTTATTGCTTTCTAGAGTTGTACTTTTAGCGCATAAGCATAAATAAAAGAATTAAAAATATTTATTCAGATATGGAATTAGTATTATCCATGTATAATATACATCCCTATTTTTCCATATAAAATTTAGGCAAAAAAGTAGGCATTATGTGTGGAAAGAAATATGGCAATTTAAATAAAACCTCAAAGAGATCACACACTAAACACATAATCACCCATATAAATTATTTAAAATTAAGACAATAATTTTAATTTATAAATAACTGTACATAATTATGGGGGATAATGTGAGTTTTGACATATGCATACATTATGGTATTTAACGTTATGGTAATTAATATATTCATCATCTCACATACTTACCCAGGTTTTTTTAGTGAGAATACTTAAAATCTATTTCTTTAACAACTTTGAAATATGCATTATCATCAACCATAGTCACATTGTTAAGCAATAACCTCTGAAAATTTATTACTGCTGTCCTACTGATACTTTGTACCCACTGGTCAAGTTCTTCTCAACCCCTTTTCCATCCCCAACCCCTGGTAACCACCATCTACTCTCTGCTTTTATAAATATGACTTTTTTAGATTATACATGTATAAATGAAATCATGAGGTATTTGTCTTTCTGTGTGTGGCTTATTTCACTTAGCATAATGTTTTCCAGATTTGTCCACACTGTTGCAAATAATAGTCTGATTCCCTGTCTTGGTTACTGTGACTAATATTGCAGTAAACACTGAAGAGTGTAGATGTATACTTGACATACTGATTTCAAATTCCTTTTTTATTTTTTTTTTTAGGCAGAGTCTTACTCTGTCACTCTGGGTAGAGTGCTGTACATCACCATGGTTCACAGCAAACTCTTGGGCTTGAGCAATCCTCTTGTCTCAGCCTCCCTAGAAGCTGGGACTACAGGCGTGCACCACTATGCCCAGCTAGTTTTTTTTTTTTTTTTTTTTTTTTTCCCCCAGCTAGTTTTTCTATTTTTAGGAGAGATAAGATCTTTCTTGCTCAGGCTGGTCTCAACCTTCTGAGCTTAAGCAATCTACCCACCTCTGCCTCCTGGAGTGCTAGGATTACAGGCTCATGAGTCACTGTGCCTGGCCTGATTTCAAATTTTCTTAGCTATATACCCAGAGGTGGAACTGCTGGATCATATATCTCCATACTGTTCTCTATAATGGCTATGCTAATCTACATTCCCACTAACAGTATACGAGGATTCTGAAGCTCCACATCCTTGTCAACATTTGTCATCTTTTGACTTTTTGATGATCATCATCCTAACAGATACGAGGTGATATCTCATTTCAGTTTAAATTTGCATTTCCCTGATTAATGATGTTAAACATTTTTTCTCATACCTCTTGGCCTACTGTACCTTACACAAATGTAAAAACATTTGTGATGGATATCTGACTTCTTGGGTGGAGACTTAGATGAGCTCTGAGGCCTGTGAGATGGGTGCCCCGAAGGGACTGAAGCCAGACAGAATTTCCCACTGAGCTTCTGCAGCAACACGCTGGGCTCTGTGAGTGGGCTACGCCATTGGCTGGCATCTCTGATCGTGCACCACTGCTGGCAGGAACATAGAGCTACTGCCAAGATCCAGCTGCTATGAGGCCTGTTCCCTTTCTTTGTTCCTTCCTAGTAAGGTCTAGCCTTGACCTTACTCCCCAGAACTCCATGAGAGAGATAGGAGGGGTCTTCTGGAAGGTGTCTCGAATGCTGGGCAAATGGGATAGTTGTGTCTGGCTTTCTAAACCTTTGGCTTGGGGAATCCTCTCTGTGTGGCACTGTGTTAACTTGATGAAGGGTGAGAGGCCATCAAATGAAACCATTCCTCTTACCCTACTAATGCAGTTTTTGCTCTGTGGTCCATGTGGGTGTCTCAGTTTCATTCCCAAGTTCTAAGATTTTCAAAGTGTTCTAGTCTGTTGGTAGCTGCTAGTTGTACTGGGAGCGGGGAGTAAACCCTGGAACCTCCTATTCACCACTTTTTTTTTTTTGGAGACAGTCTTACTTTGTTGCCCTTGGTAGAGTGCCGTGGCGTCACAGCTTACAGCAACCTCAAACTCTTGGGCTCAAACAATTCTCTTGCCTCAGCCTCCTTTGTAGCTAGGACTACAGGCACCCGCCACAACACTCGGCTATTTTTGTTGTTGTTGTTGTTTGTTTGGTTAGCAGGCCTGGTCCATGTTCGAACCCACCAGCCTTAGTGCACGTGGCAGGCGCCGAGCCCTATTCACCACCGTGATGACATCAATCTCCCCATAAATTTAAACTATAACTATGATTTGTGTTGTGTACAAAGAATCGTGATGATGATGATGACGGAATGACACAGACCATGAGGTCATTTCCCAATCATAATATCTTATAGACAAAGACTCCAAAGTATAAGAGTGAAGTGATATGTAAAGGTCATGAGGATACTGGGGGACCCATAACTACTTTACTACTATTAAATTTCTCGGTGCCCTGTCAAATATACAAAGTGTTTAAAAGCATGGACTTTGAAATCAGATGAATATGAGCCTGAGTCCCCACTTTATCTTTGAAACTCTTTGTGCTGATTCTCCACCTACAGAATGGGAATAATAACTACTCAGAGCTGTCATCAAGATAAAATAAACTACTAATATATGTAAAATTTATCACTGTCTAGCGTATAGCAAGTATCTCATTTATTGTACAGGAGTTGGATAATGAAATTCTTGTCTCTATTTTTTAATTACCAGCACAAGACTCTTTGGGAAGCCCAAATTACTTATTTCCTCATCTACTTAATTTCTACTTTCATCAGTATGTTCATGCCTGGAATGCTCTTGTAAACTCCAGACCCATATTTTCAACTGCTCACTCAATGCCTGCAATTGGATGTCTGAAAAGCATCTCAACGCATCTGGGTTCTTGATACCTCTCCTCACTACTCTTAGGTCTTTCTCAATTTCATTTAATGACAACTACAATTTTGTAGCTGTATGAGACAGAAAGCTTAAAGTTACTCTTGACACCTCTGTCTCTCTCTTTTCTCACCCTCAGTAAATCCTGTTTGCTATGTCACCAAGACATATCTACAACAGGACGATGCTCACGACCATCCTCATCTGTGTGATTAACTTTATGTATCAACTTGGCCAGGCCATGGTGCCCCAGATATTTGGTCGAACATATTCTGAATGTTTCTTGAAGGTGTTTTTTAGATGAGATTAACATTTAAATCAGTGGACTCTGAATAAAGCAGATTTCTCTCTATAATGTGGGTGGGCTGCATCCAATCATTTGGAGGCTTTACTAGAACAAAAACCAACCACCTCCTGAGAAAGAAGGAATTATGCCAGGAGACTGTCTTTGGAAAGCACTGCAAACTCTTCCCCTGAGTCTCCAGCCTGCTGGCCTACAGCAACAGATTTGGAACTCAACAAGCCTCTGTAATCCTGTGAGACAATTGCTTAAAATAAATCTCCCCATCTTCCAAGAACCCTGACTAATACATGATTCAAGTCACCATTAACTCTCATCTATGTGATGTAATACTCTCCTAATTAGTTTTGTGCTCTTAAATTCTTGTCTTGCTATAACCTATACTGTGTGCAGTTCTTTTTTAAGTTTCTTTTCTTTCTTTCTTTTTTTTTTTTGTTTGCAATTTTTTGGCCGGGGCTGGGTTTGAACCCACCACCTCTGGTATATGGGGCCAGCACCCTACTCCTTGAGCCACAGGCACTGCTCTATTAAGTTTCTTTTTTAATCAAGCCAAATTTTGATTACAAAAGCTAATAAAAGTATGAATTGTAGGAACACAGGCAATAATGACTATGTTCATTTATCTTGTCCTTATTTATTAGTTTACTTATTGATGAAACATTGACTATCAAGTATGAATCGATACAAGAACTACAAGAATAATTAGAACATGGTTTTTGCCTCGAGTTTGGGGAGTGTGATCAGCAGATATGTAAACAAAAAATTATAATACAGTGTGATAAATACAGTTAAGTAAAGTTCAGAAAAAGTATAATATCTACTTACATTAAAAAGTTGTTTTTTAGCATATGTTCTAATCTGTCCTTTGTAAGAAAAAACAAAAGAGAAAATTTTTAAAATGCAATCATATTCATTACATGTAATTAACAGACTTAAGAGTAGATGTATTGGGATTTATCTACAAAACTAATTACCTTTTGGCCAGGAGCTATGAATTTGTGACAGAGTTCAACATCTTCAGGACAATTTGAAAGAACCATCATTGTTGTAGCCTTGAAGAGTTCCTCTATAACCTAAAAAAAAAAAAAAATGACAGAGAATCACCTCACAAGTAAGCAGCTTCATATGAAAAACCTGTCCAGGCACCTCAATTTTCTTCTGGAAAGTGGGAATGTATGAATTTTATATTAATAGTTCTAACACTGATAGAGAAATATGTCAAATGATCAGCTATAACTGATCAATGTCTCTCAAAATTTTAGTTAAAATTACTTGTCAGGCCAGGTACGGTGGCTCATGCCTGTAGTCCTAGCACTTTAGGAGGCCGAGATGGGTGGATTATCTGAGCTCACAGGTTTATGACCTGCCTGAGCAACAGCGAGACCTCATCTCTAAAAACAGCTGGGCGTTGTGGCAGGTGCCTGTAGTCCCAGCTACTTGGGAGGCTGAGGCAAGAGACTCGCTTGAGCCTAAAAGTTTGAAGTTGGCTCGGCGCCTATAGCTCAACCAGCTAAGGCGCCAGCCACGTACACCAAAGGTGGCGGGTTCGAATCCCCAGCCCAGACCCGCCAAACAACAATGACGGCTGCAACCAAAAAATAGCCGGGCGTTGTGGCGGGTGCCTGTGGTCCCAGCTACTTGGGAGGCAGAGGCAGGAGACTCGCTTGAGCCCAGGATTTGGAGGTTGCTGTGAGCTGTAATGCCATGGCACTCTACCCAGGGGGACAGCTTGAGGCTCTGTCTCAAAACAAAAAACAAAAAACAAAAAAAAAAAAAAGTTTGAAGTTGCTGTGAGCTATGACGCCATAGCACTCTGAGGGTGACAAAGTGAGACTGTCAAAAAAATATATATATATATAAAATAAAATCACTTGTAGAATTAGGACAATAATAGTATCTAGCTTAGAGAAGCATAGAATAAATGGTAATTGTGAAGAGTAAGAACATTTTAAAGAAAGGTTCATTTGGTCATTGGCAGATGAAAGTAAACTTTAAAATTAGAAAAACAGAATACAGTGGTGGCCGCAGGTCAGAGCAATCTTGAAGCATGAAACTGCTAACCAGAACCAGGTCCTTCTCAAGATTTTATTCCCTCAAAGTTCCCCCCAAAGTTAAAGCCACAGCTGCCCCTGCAGGAGCACCCCCACATCCTCAGGACCTTGAGTTCACCAAATTACCAAATGGTTTAGTGATTGCTTCTTTGGAAAACTATGCTCCTGCATTAAGGATTGGTTTGTTCATTAAAGCAGGGAGTAGATATGAGGACTCTAACAATTTAGGAACCTCTCATTTGCTGTGTCTTGCATCCAGTTTAACTACAAAAGGAGCTTCATCTTTCAAGATAACTTGTGGAATTGAAGCAGCTGGTGGTAAATTAAGTTTTTGGCCAGAGCCAGGTTTGAACCAACCACCCCTAGTATATGCGGCTGGTGCCCTATTCCTTGAGCCACAGGCGCTGCCCAAAACCTAACAGTTTTTAATCTACACAAAGATACACTTTAGACTTCAGTTTAGACTGAAACTATTTAAATGTCCATCATTAGGGAAATGGATAAAGTATGCTATCTAGATTTATGTACTGACATAGCAGAACTTAACAAAATATTGTGCAAAAAAGCGAGTTTCAAGATTTCTTTATAATACATTATAAGTTTTTAAGTAAAATAATAGTGTATAGTACAAAAAAAATTAAAGAAACAATGATAGCTAACTACAAATACCATACCTTTTAGCTTTGCCAAAGCATAAAGCAAAGACAACATGAATAAGTCTATAACACCAATCAGTATATGAGAATGCATTCTACCAGGGTTGTCTACAGAAGACTCATCATGGGAGAAACTTGATTTTAGAAGAATAAAGTGAATGCAATAAACAATATTTATAAAATTACTTTAATCATAACTAAATTTCTGGTTTTATTTCTATTTTATTTTTTGAGACAGAGTCTTGCTCTGCTGTCTTAGGCAGAATACCATGGCATCACAGCTCACGGCAACCTCAAACTCTTGGGCTTTAGAGATCCTCTTGCCTCAGCCTCCTGAGTAGCTGGGACGACAGGTGCCTGCTACAATGCCCAGTTAATTTTTTTTCTATTTTAGTAAACTTGCTCTTGTTCGGGCTGGTCTTAAATCTCAGACCTCCAGTAATCTACCCGCCACGCGTGAGCTACCACCCCAGCCAAAATTTCTGGTTTTAAATCAGTGAGACCATACTAGGTACTCTAAAAGCTGCACTCATAAAGATACAAACATTTACAAAGTACAGGCTGCCCAAAGGCAGGTATTTTCTTTTCTTCTGTTACATCACTGGTACACCCTTTTCAAGCTGCAAACACAATGGGGGCATAACTGGTACTGAAGTTACATGATCAAATGTAGGAAAACACTTAAAGAACAAGTGACAGCCACATTTATTTCATGATGCCTCTGTCTTCATTAGTGGCATTTATTATAGATGTCTTGCTAAGCTACACAGCATTCCTGGTTTCTTGTCTTACTTTCAATTACTATAATGATTTATCCTTCCAACCAACATGTTTACTTAATATAACAAAAGAAGTTGGTGAGCATGTGGGCATCTCAGGCACTGACAGTATAAAATAGTAATGACAACTAATTTGGGAGGTGGAAAACAAGTTAATCAAAAGATTAGACAAAAGTAAAAATAAAACTGAAAGGAATAAGCAGAATTAAAGCAGAACTTTCTAAAGACCCTCTGTCCTAAGGAGGGCAGAGAAGTTTAACATTAGAGTTCATGTAAAAAATGTAAGGTAAATCATTAAAATAACAGAAACAGAATGTATAAATTCTAACCCAATGGAGGAGAAGAAAGAAAAATAAAAAAGACCAGGTTAATCTAATGGAGAGGAATAGAAGGAAGGAATGACAAGAAAAGAACAAAATAGGAGACGAGGCTCGGTGCCTGTGGCTCAAGTGGCTAAGGTGCCAGCCATGTACACCCAAGGTGGCGGGTTCGAATCCAGCCCGGGCCCACCAAACAACAATGACGGCTGCAACCAAAAAATAGCTGGGCGTTGTGGCGGGCGCCTGTGGTCCCAGCTACTTGGGAGG